TAATGGAGGATATGAAAATCATAATGATGAAGTGACTTTTAAAATCCCTTGCATTTATTTTTTAAAACTTGCATAAATATATTAGAAATGAGTGGTTTTGTTCCGTAGGAAAAAAAAATTGTACTACACAACTCCATTTAATATTTCAGAAAACTAGCTTTATGGGGTTGAAATGTTTTGCTTTTTTACTAGCACATAAGTAATTTTGAATGAGACAGATTATGATGAATTACCATATGATTAATTTGTATGACTTTTTTTGTGGAACTATTAGTCTTTTAAAAAGCATTTACGTGCTAGTTGTATAATGTTGGAGTTTATGATTAAAATTTTGATAAACAGTCTGCTTTGGTTAATCGTTTTTACAGTGATCGTTTATTTGAATGATTCATTTGCTTTCAAAGCTGTTCACTAAACCTCAAGGGACTTGGTGTTTACTAAAAGATCGACATGATTTAAATGTCATATTTTATTTCCTCAAACTATTCCCCCTGATTATAAACCTAGATTATCTTGTGGTGCATGGTGCAAATTTTAATAAGGCAACACAACTCGGAAAGAAGAAAAATAATACAGCTGATGCTTTATTCATCTGTGATTCATCACACGTTATTGAACATGTACAAAATGGTTTAAAAATGAGCATACATAGCACAACTACTAGTAGGCTAACGATACAGAGCTTCGCAGTATGAAAGGGTTGGAAGGCAGGCAATGGTCTGATACTTAGACTTGGAAATAGTTATCTATAATAGTAACAATAAATCTACTAACCCTGAATATATTACGAGTCACAACAACACTCGCTCTCAGCCCAGCACACTGCCCTAATGAAAACTCCATATGCTATAGCTAAAGCACTCCTGTCTTTATACTGCATGTTTGTTTGTAAAGGTCCAGTCAGCATTTTACTTTATAACGTACATGTATATTCATGTGGAATTGAATAGTTTGACATAGATGAAAAACAATCTTTTATTATTATTTTTTTAACATTACCCTTTTGATTATAAGTGAAAAATATAGGTTCTGCTGTTTACAAACACAAAGTAAACAAACCTTTAACAACATCACAAAACAAATTTTCTTGGATTTTATTGTAATGGGATTAGTTAATAATTGGCAGTAAGAGAGTGACAACAGGTTGACACTCAATGTGTTTGGAGGATAACCTTTTATTCATTTGTGCCTTTAATGTCCTGTGATACCACTATTTCTAAAATGTACTTGCAGCAAGTAGGGACTTTATGTATTAATTATTTAAGATGGTTCATTTTCCCTAGGGTGATATTAGTAATACCAGCTATAGTTCATATAATAGAAATTTGTAAACTAGATCACGTCCACCAAACTTTGTTTTTTAAACAGTATAAATACTATATTGATAACTTCGTGCGTCTTGCTGGGGATCAGGCTACATCCCAGCCACTGTTTTTTCACGGTGCTCCTTCTCCTCCTCCTCCTCCTCGTCGTTCACGGTCCGCGGAGCCGAGGTCTTGGCCATAACCTCCTCTTTCTCCTGCATCTCTAAGGGCATTGCTTTCTCCTCTGTGGCCATCTCGGTTTCTCTCTTGGCCACTGGCCTCTTCTCCGTGTTTTCCGCTTGCCCCAAGTAGTCCTTCATGGCGCGCTCGTACAGCTCATAGGGGAACTGCCCCTTCAGCTGCGCCTGGGTGTCCCGCTTACTGATGGTGTTGGGGTACTCTGTGAGAATTTTGGCTGCCAGGTAGGTCGTCACCTCGTCTTCCACGTCACCATCATTATCTTCATCATCATCACCATCAGTCTGGCGTTTCAGGGGCATTTTGTTGAGCTCTGATAAAAAGAGATTCTCTCTGCGTCCCGAGGAAGGAGGGATTTTGACTGGACCTGCATTTGCAGCAGGGTTGGACACCACGGGAATTCTGTCCGAGGAGGGAGAGGTCTTCAGGGGTCTTTGCACAACAGGATATTCGTTACTGATAGTTTCCACTCCGATGATGTCTAAGAAGTCCTCTCTGTCCATGTCCTCAGGGGCGGTCTTGCTCTTTAGTGGTAGTCTGCGGTTGAAGTACCTGATTTTAGGGGTTTGGCCGGTCGTGTAGCGAGCTGAAGTTTGGGGATCGCGGTGGAGTTTTCTGAGCTCCTGTGTGAGCAGCATATCGATAAGGTCCTGTGGAGGGACGTGGAGCTTCAGTGAAAGCTCCAGCAGCTCCTTCACTGTCCGGGGATCTACGATGGACGGGCGGATCAGTCTCTTTCTCTGCTCCCCGGTCTTATCCCTCTTCTGTGTCTGGTCGGTCATCTCCAGGACTTTTAACAGGTAGTAATCTACCAGCTTAGTGTCATCATCGGCATCCTCTTGGTTCTGGTTGGCCCGGCGTCGCACCTCCTCCTTCTCTGCTTCCTCCTGGTCACCCAGCGCCCTGTCAACTTCTTCTTGGCTCCCGTTTACCATCTCCTCCGTCTCTTCTCTCTCCTCCACGGGGACCCACTCCTCTCCTCCGGCCACATCCTCGTAGCCCTGGCTTCTCAGGCTGAACCCGTCTTCTTCCTCATCACCATCGTCCCCGAACACGTCTCGCTTCTGTCCGGCGACTGTGGGCATCCGCCCGAGCTCTTCAAAGATGGAGCGTAAATTGGCCAGGCTCTGGGGTGTGTACTGCTCATCCAGATCCTCTGTGGCCCGCTTTGAAGCGTCTGTATTCTCCTCATCCTCAAACATCAGCGGGTATTTCTTGTGAGGTCTTGGGAAATTACCGTAGTCTGCCGGTGCGCTTTCGGGGACTTCAGTGTCTTTGGTGCGGTGCCTGTGCGTGCGGCGATCATTTCTGGGCGCCGCAGCGGAGCTGAGCTTCGCGTCTTTCACCGTCTGATCCTGCAGAGATTTGAGCAAGGCTTTCATCAGCTGCTCAGCGGTAATGTCCTGCCTCTGCATGCCCGGGGCAGGCTGGCGGTCGCCGGGACCCTCGTCTTGCTGCGAGGCGAGCTGGAGCAGGACCCTGAACTTGTCCACTTCGTCGTAATCCACGGGTTCAGGTCGGCCCCCATTCCGCTGTTTCAGGTTCTCGATATACTCCAGGGCTTTGATCATGTCGGAGCTGGGTGGGTAAGCAGCCGGCTGCCCCTCACTCTCCCCGCCTCGGAGCCTGTAGTGGCGGGGGAGCGACGCAGCTTGCACGGCGTATCCATGGAGGAGGAAGGCGAGCAGGACCACGGCTCCCCCCGCGGGCAACTTGTGGTGGAAATGCAGCATTATAGGCTATTGATTACCTGCAAATGAAGAGAGGATAAAGTATAAGTGAAGCAACTGTAAAAAAAAAAAATAAAATAAAATTAGCAAACGAGGATTACGTTTCTATCAGTTATTTTTGGCCAAAAGCAACGAGCATACGCGCGACGAGTCTGTTCTGATAAGGCTTTGTATGCCTGTCAGCGAATTCCGCTCTGCAAATTGAATAATATGATGCTGTGCGTAAGGAGGCACATTGACATCACTGGATGAGTCACTCCCGCGTTGTTATTGGCGATCTCATCCGATTTCCTCTTAACAACATAAACTTTAATTCAAAGAACGCAACAATTTCTCCTTATTTCACTAAAACAACAACCCATTGCAATCACTGCCTGCTGTGGATGCGTTTCATCGCATCTATAACTCCGCTGTATCGAGATCTGCGAAAGGCTACGACAGAAGAAGTCTTCTAATTGAACACTTTTAGATATTAATTAGAGCAAAACCACAATTTAGAGCCTATATGAAAATACATGTCTTACCTTTGGCACTAAAGCTCACACAGCAGTGAAGGTGTATGGCATCTCCTCTGCAGCGCTGTTGTTCTCTGTTTTCAGCACTTGGACAGCTCCCGTGGTTATATGAGGCCACACCTGACCACCGCGTCATCGCACAGCACACGCAATAGTCGGTCCTAGAAAATCCATAGAAATGATTCGGGTTTATAAATGTAGCATACAAAAGACTTGCTTATATTAAAACAACTCTCTATGCTGTTTGTTGCACTGCTAAAAGTCTGGAAGCAGATTAAAACTGACTTCAAGACTGCTACTGCACGACTCGCACAGAGTGACATGTTTATGTGGATAGTGATCCGTCGAGATGTGTCAACTGTTCAACTGGCATGAGCATATTGCAGTTCAACACCAAATGTTCCTTTCCAGCTAGTTTTATCCTAACAATACAGTTCAAATGTGCGCAATACGCATTTCCTTTTCCCCCCGGGGCTCGCAAAAGATCGTTTTAGTTATGTGAAATATGGAGTTTTTACCCATCACTTCCATCGTCACTGATCGTCGTTCTGGCATATGAGGAGTTAAACCCTCTAGCGATGACTCACTGGCTGAAAGCACCGCGGAGTTGTTGTCGCAGTTAACAGAGACGATGATAAACACCCTCCTGCCGGCTGGGGGCCAGGCTCCGGTCGACAAGACAGAAGATACAACACGGCACCTGCACATGAAAGGTCACGGATGGGTAATGACAGTGCTTTGAGATGAAGATCCTTAATAAACACTTATTTTACCACGTATGAGCCAGAGAAAAACAACACTGTCTTAATCATATATTCTGAGTATCACCTGCTCACCTAAGTTTAAGGGCGAACTACATCTCACCACGGAGCCGACTCACAAATATCCAGACGCCATATTCATTCTGTCTCTGTGTAATTTCTCTTTGTGGAGGAACTGATCTGAAAATGACGCCACCTTATGTTTTTGCACTTATTTCTCAGTTTTTTTTCTAAAGCTTCAGATCCACAGACCCTGCTAATCTCGTTTATTGCTGTAAAAGGAACAACTTTATTTAAATTAAATGTAGTCTAACAATACATTCCAGTACACCTGTTTCATGCTTTACGTGTTCAAGTCTTTGTTGGTGTCTATCTTACAAGCCCACCAAATGGTGAGTCAGATACATTAGGATAATTCTATCCTCACTGAGGCTCCAGCAACACCACAAGTCTTCTTCATACCTTCTAAAGTGGTTCTAACTCTTCACCTCAGTGTCCTCTGCCACCCCATAAACATAAGTGCTCTTCCATTTCAGCCTTGCTCTGGCTGCCCCCTCATTTTCATTGCACATCTACAGTAAATGTATCCAACATGCTCCTTATTTATTCCATGTTGTTCCCTTTTATGCCTATTAAACCAGTAAAAAGATAACAAAAAGAAAAGCCTACTTAATCCTTTCACTTCACTTTCCGTGCTGCAGTGTGTCATCATCACGTAGCAGTAACTGGCAAGGTTGGAAGTGTTTTTTACTTGTGTATGTTGAGTCGGTTGCCTGCTCTCAAGGTGCTGAAGAGCCACAGAGAGCCTCCTGATGTTAAAAGACACATCCATCTGCCTGGCTGCTGCTGTGTCTGCTGGCTTGTTTAAGTGTGGTGTGCTTGTGCATGATAAAGAGTCAGGGGGGAGGGAAAATAACTGAATCAGAGATCAAGAGAGTGATGGAGAAAGAGAGAGCCGAGAGTCCTGGTGTTGTTTGGAAGCTGTGTTGTATAATCCCGCAGCATCACTCCTCTGACGTCACATCTCTCCATTCACAAACAGCCTCCTCCCTGAGGGACAGCAGCCGCCCAGGTCACAACTCACAGGCAAAGTGAACAGGCACAGAGCAGCTATATAAAAATAAATGCAAACATTCACCTTATTGAATTGGCAGGGCACTGACATATTGGTGTGGACATGAAGACTGAGAGTTTTTGATATTTTGTTTATAGCAAATGAGCCAGCGATGCTCAGATGCTTTTCCTTGCCACAGTGCTAAAAATAGATGGCTGCTGTGATGTGTGTGGGTAAGGGATTATGTACCACAACAAACAAACAAATTGAGTTTAATGTACTTCTTTAGTGTATAAGCAATGAATCAATTTGGAAAAAGTCAAGGTAAAGGAGGAAACCGCTGAATATCTGGTGTGTTACCTCGGTGTATGTTGGAGAACAGCATGAAAAGTCACATAATGGCTACCCTTTTATTTCATTATGGTAATAAAATGTACACTTTGACTGCTATAACAAAACCTCAACCATTTTATTAAGCTGTATCTTATTTGCAAAGTATCTTTCAGCTATAGTCTAAATTTCCGTCTGCTTGCCTCTGTATCTGTTGTCATATCAGCCCCCCGGGAAATGTGATGATTCTGAGTGACGGCTCAGACGTTTTTCATCTCAAATCCCAGTAGGTTCCTGGTGGAGAAAGATCCACTGTCTAAATCTGTGATTCCTCTCTTGGGCTTGTGAAGCGCTGTCTGTGTGCATTGTTCCACACAGACCCACACAGTTACTTTAGACAAGGAAAACAAGAGGAGGATTTCCAGTGACTGTTAGTGCTGTTTCCCTTTTCTCTCTATTATTGACATGAATTATAGTAGGGAGGTTAGAAAATTATAGTAATTACATTAACAGTTCTAGTGTCACTTTCACTTTTCTTCTGTTTTACATTTCTATCTATCCATCCACTTACCCACCTGTCAGTTTACTGTGGCACCTTATACGTGTTTTAATGTTGCAAAATACAACAATTTTGAGTTGTCCTCTGTTTCATATGCAGTTGTATACTGTATATAAATGGTATACATAGTAAATAAGGTGCATGTTGGGGCAAAGGTCTTAAAGTTTGTAGTAGCTTTTATTATGAAATCTCTCTAATATTTTTAATGCCTGCAGTTTGGAAGAAATGCAGCAGTGTTTCCTGCTGTCATAGAGTGCACAGTTTGTCTAAGGTAAACTGTTACCATTATGTTCACTGAGTCTGTATCTTGTCTATTATTATTATTAAATTTTTTTTTAAAGGTCAGCCACAATGGTCTGCTCTGTCAGTGTGGTTATAAATGGCTTCCTACTGTATTTCACTTGCTGTATGTAGCTTACATCCTCTAACCTGAAGGAGAGCTGTGCACTACTGTTCAAAATGCCTTAATAAACATAAGGTTTAATGCTTTTTATCTGGTTGTAAAATGTAATGTCTTTCTCATCTCTTAAAAATGAGCACATTTTGGCTTTATTCTGCATTGTTCTGTTCTTACAGGTACGGCCATAGATAGACAGATGGAGTGATACAGTACATATACTTTCTTAATTCCAAAGGCAAATTGAAGTGTTGCTTTAGCCAAATCATGAATTCACAGCAACAAATGAGGCATGCAAGGAGCTATACAGTTAAATTAATTACAGAACATAAATACATTATAAAGTAAAAAAAAAAACAGTTTAAAAATACAGTGGCAGATCTGTAGAATTAATTTTATTGCATATTCAGTCCCCAAATCTCAGTACTGTGAGTGCAATTTCCAGGTCAAAATTGATATGTCAGAGCTAATTTGACTCACTTTCCCCTCTAGCCCCCCCAAACCATATTTTTGTCTCCTTGATGACAGCATGATATCCACCATCTAGCGTCTCCCACCTCCTACTGCATCTGTCAACCCACAGCAGCGCACTGGGGCACTGCAGCTGTTTTCCCATGTGTCAGTCAAAGCTGTGGAGGAGCGAATGATATTAACTCAACAATGGCTTGTTTGCATCACAATGGCAGAAAAGCCCCCACCCATATGTTCATGTGGCTGCACCCACTAACAGCCAATTGCAAAGAAACAAGGCTGCACCTCAAAGGTGTGTGTGTTGAGGATTCTTGCTTTTATGCTTTAATGCTCAGCTCAAGAGCCCATGGTTTAAGCAAAAGCCAAGATGGGAGAGTTGCAAACACTTCATTTCAGCTGTGGATTTCTTCTTGAGAGACATATACAAATATCATGCTTGTGTTAAAAAGAAAGTAAAAAAAGAGAGAGAAAGGCAGCAGGGCTGCATGTCGTCCTTCCCTCGCCCCCTTGTTTTCATTTTCCTCCTCACCTCTTCACCCCCATCATCTCATCATGAGCTAGGGAGATGAATGGCATGGCGTTGTCATGGCTCGCCACCTCTTCTTTTCAACCAGCATCTCCATGGTGACACTGCCTCACAATGTTTCATCTGCTTCCACCTTCATTTATTCCCAGAGGTTGGTATCCTCCTCTCCTCCATTAGACACTTTGTCTCTTAATAATTTTTTCAGTGACTTGCATTCATTACTTTTCTCCTCTGTTGTACCTATCCATCCTATCCCTCCCCTTGCTCCAATTATTGTGTTTAAAGTGTGGTCCTTGTCTTCAGGAGGCAGATGGTTTCAGCAAGGAACAGAGATGTGGCTGATTAGAGCTGCGATATGTTGGCAGAGCCATTAGGACAGAGGAGCAGAAATAAGGAGAGGAAAAGTGTACTGTCTTTAGCAAGGAAGAGTGGAGAGAGGAAAACGAAAAGAATGAGGGTGGAGCTTCTATACAAACTTAGCCTTTTTGAAAAGGGCAGGTATCCAAGTCATGCCACAGGAATCCAGCAGAAGACCTGTGAGAGTGAGTTAATAGATCTGCAGTAATGAGACCAGGTTCAAAAGCTAAGCCTCTACTCCACCTCTATCGCTGGCCATCTCTCAATTTATTATACAGGAATAGTTTGACATTTGTGATATTCATATATTGGTGAGATTTCAGTGGTGTCACACACCCACTTTCTCTGCAGCATTTACCTTAGCTGGAGCTGGAAGCCTGAAGCTGCTTAGCTTAGCATAAAAACTGGAAATGGGAGAGGGCTAGCCTGGTTATCCTGAAGACAACAAAATCTGCCTGACAATACATCTAAATGTTCTATGAAATCATTGTGCCTCATTTATTTAGTCAATACAAAATGACCCAAAATGAAGTGGCAAATTGTCATTTTCATACAGTTTTGATGTAGTTTTATTTTCTCTAGCCAAGCTAGCCAGTTCCCCCATTTCCACTGTTATGCTAGGCTAAGCTAATGGCTGCTGGCTTCTGTTTGCTACATATTTAGTGTGCAAACATGAGAGTGGGGTTGATCTTTTCATTTTACTCTGGAAAAGAAAGTGGATAAATGTATTTCCCACAATGCCATGCTCTTCCTTTAACTCCTGCATATTAAATATAAATGTCTCAAAACCACATTAAGGAGAGGACACGAAATGAGTGGGAATGAAAATGGGGAGTCACTTGAATGTTTTTATATAATATAGGTGACATATTTTATATTTATATGGTATATGTTTATATTCCCCATCCCATGCCTGTAAAATGAAGTCTTTAGTCACGTCTACCCGACTGCCTCCATCATCACAAACCTGCTCATTATATCAACAACCACTGCCCATTTTTTCAGTCTTTTGTGAACGCATCTTTAGTTTCACTTCCTTTTCTATTCTTTCTCCCATTAACCTCTCATTGCCTTATTGTCCTGTCATCATTACTACCCTCCATCTCCATTTCTTTTGTTGTCTTATACGTATTACTATAATGGCTGCGAGTGTTCATCTTGGTCTGACTCATCTCTTTTTAACAAACTGACTGTGTTCTTCTATCTTTTTTATTTTCACTCTCTGTATATGTACGTGAACACACGTGCACAGATTGGTGTTTGTGGTAGAAGGGTTGCAGTGTGACGCACTGGCAGACGTCACCAAAGGCAGAGGCAGTGGGGTTTTTTTTTATGAAGATATTCTGTCAATGAATAGAGCAAAATGAATCACAATATACATTTTCATTTATATTATAATAGTACACGTTTACAGAAATAATTTTTGAACTTATCATGATTACATGTTGTTGTAAGGCTCCAAATAACCTCTTTGCCTCCCTAATTGGCTGTGCATGTAACAGCCTTATTTTGATCACTTCATGTGCAGTGTCTAGGCAACCGAAATGATTTTTGGCTTCATTTAAAGTCTGCCACCTTTCCCTGTCCTCCTCTGCATGACTCCATCTGGTCAGTGCATGAATGTGAGGCTGCAGGGGAAGCGTGCGTTCTTGCAAATGTGAGCCAGTGAATTTATAAATATTTTGGTGACACCACAGCTCAAGCACAGATAGAGATGTTTATTATCACATCCAAAAACCTAATATGTGTGCACGGTGGAGTTATGTTTGCCCACATGTAGGCTCCCTACTCTATATTATAACAAACAGTTGTCTCTGCAGTGTGGCACGCCCAGCACAGTTGCTTTTTTATGCGAGATCTTCCTATATATTCTTGCTCGTGCAAACGCTGTTCTATTTTTGTCGTCTCATCTTTCAGTCGTGCGGTCTCATTCATCCACCCATTCTCCTCTTCTCCTCCACTTTTTCTCCTAATGTGATTCGTCCCTCCCACCATCCCTCTTGTTCACCCACTCCCCTTCTTCTTAGGTACTTAATCTCTGCGGTCTCTGTCTCTCCTTTCACCACTCCCTCACTCCATGTTGGCACTGTGATGATGCTATTCTGGCCACCTCCCAAACCACTTGCCCCCATGCTCCTCAACCCCACCCCATTTGCTGATGCTATAAATACCCTGCATCGGTGAGTCACTGGCCACACGTATCGGTTGCCTCTCCCATTCTCCCTCTCTGCCTTTCTTCCCTCGCTTCTCTGCTCAAACTTATTACCGACCTCACGCATTTTCCCACCTCCACTGTGGCCGAGCTGAGATAGGGTGGGGGTGGTGCGCCTGGCACGGTGCAGCCAGTGTTACCAAGTGCAAACCCCAAAGTCATTTTTTGACACATCACAGCTTCACAAAACAAAACAAACTAAAAATGTTAATTAAATCAAATTTTAAAAATCAGCAGGAGTGCATACAATATTGTAAAACAAAAAATAAAAGCATCGCATTTACTAATCTTCCAGTTAGCTGATGGGAAATATTGCCAGTGTTCTCCTTAAATAGCTTCAAAGTCAAAAAAGACATTTCCCCCTTAAACAGCATCAAATAAAATATATTTCTATTTTGTATGTGCTTGTTCAACTGCTTATTTGCTTCAATGTCACACTAAAAGCGGGTGACAGTGAAATACAAGAGCAAAAATCAATACACCATGTTTATCTTTGGATGCCTAAGAATATGGATTTTAATTTAAACGGAGGTTCTGTGTGTTTGAACAGTGCTTTTGTACACAGTATGTTGGCTCTTTGTAATGACAGATCTGCCAAAGTGTTCAACTGGTTGAAAGGTTTAAACCTGTCATTTTAGGGAGCTACTTTAGACATAGAAATGGCCTTTTCTCATCCTGCTCTACATCCACATTCAGCCTATCATTACTGTACTTTAGTGCATCTTACATATAAATTCAACAGTCTAGCATCACGAGTCAGTCATAGTCCTCACTGTAATACCATCTTTCGAAATCAGATGTAATTATTGCCAGTTGTCTCCAGCCCCCACCCACCTCCCCAGATTTAAAAGGGAGCTCTGGTTCAGCTCTGCTCGTCCTTGGGTAAACAATATGGCTTACTGGCTCAGACTGGAGTGTGCACATAAAACCCAAATATAGATAGAAGTTTTTGCGCACTTCTGAGTCATACGTATAGACAGGAAGCAAGAGACATGAGAGGGATGACAGAGAGAGGGCAGGGCAAAGAAAAAAGTTGGAATAAAGTGTCAGAATGCAAAGGTGAGCACAGAAACACACGTACACACAGAACCACATTTATACAATATGGAAGATGTCCTTCACAGTTTTCTGCCGCTTGGTGCTGTTGTTGTGTTTGTGGTAGAGCTGCTCCTCTTTGTGTGTGTGTGTATGTGCGCGTCAGAATCAGTGGGCTAATGAAGGGAGCTTTATGCCTCTGACTCACTCACTTGTCCCATAGGGTTGGATGGAGGGAATAAAGAGGAGGGGTTGTTTGTTTCTCTGTGGACTGTAGCTACAGTTTTATTTTAAATGAAACAGAAGCAGAATCTTAACCACCCAAGTTGTCAGAGAATTTTTTTTTAAGGGAGTAAATGGAACAATGTGTGAGAGCCGTTTTCCTTCTTTAACAGCTTAAAGGTTACTGAGCTTTGATTTCATTCTGATGTTAATTATCCTTTTGTACAGATTGTAATGTGTATTATACATGAGAATTTATTTGGCTTTGTGAACTTTATGCATACAGTATATAGTCCCACTTGGACAAAATGTGTTTAATTAAACTGTATGCATTGTTTAACTAAATGATTAACCCATTGGCAGCATTTAAATCACCAAACTAAGGCAGATTAACACAGAACTAATCAAATGAACGACGGTGGACATAAGGTCTGTAGCTGGTTCTATATGAAATATTAAATAATGGCTTTATCTATGTGCCCTACCTGCAGCTTCTATAGTGCAGATTACAGCTGAAATGGTTAATTGATTAGTGAATAATCATAAAATGTAAAAGTAAAGTAAAATAGCCAAATATTGTCCAGTCACAGCTTACCAAGCATGACTACTTAGGAAATTCTTAGTCTTATACCACTGTAAATGTAATATTTTTGTGATCTGAGCTGCTGATGTGCAATTCAAAGTATTTGAGATTTTACAGACCAAACATTTAATTAATAAGGGGAATAATCATCCGTCCAATGTTCACCCTACTGCTGATGCCAAACACTGATGTGAGATCAGGTGAGATATGCTGATCGAACACCATATCAAAGTGCTGCGCCCAGGCTTAGCAAAATACAAATGGTAATAGTTTAGCAGGTTTACACGTAAGCAGGGCAAGATTCTTCCTTCAATTAACATAATGGTGTCAATGGTTTTTTTTTAAGTCTTAGGAAAAAGTCTACGGCTAAAAGGAAAAAAAAAAAACAATCTTTTTGTGCGATTGAAGGCCGACTCCCAGAATTGTATGTTCCATTTGCGTCGATGCACCACGCAATCTTTCACAAACCACATTCACTCAAACACTCATGTAGACACACTGGCCTTCGTTGCCATAGAAACCCTGGTTTCAGGATGATTTTAATCAAGCTGCTGATCGGATCGGTCACATTATTCCTCACTGATTATCTTCAGGTGTCAAACACACAATGAACGGCAGCAATTACAACACAAGCCTTTTTATTTCATTACATAACTGTCAAGGCCAAATCACAAATAAATATAGAGATGCAGCCTGGCTCCCAGGGCCCAATTCAACACAAAGGACAAGGAAGAGACCCCAAAAACCAATCACTAACAGATAAATATATTAACAAGAGGTTTTACATCTGTACAGTTATTGGTAGTTTTAATGAACTTTGATCTGTGGGAACCCCCTGCCCCCAACATATTTACAACAACAGGAGTGGTGAAATTCAAAATTAATTTCTGCACCATCCACTACCTTTACCTTGTCGTTAGTTCAAGTGAGCATTGTTAGTAAGATGTGCCATGTGTGCTATCAACAGAACACAGGGAGAGCTTCACATTCCTAAGACCCCTGAAACAGCTCAGGTGTGTCAGAAGGCAAATAACCATGTCTTGTCAGGCAGGGGTCAAGCAGCAAACCGCAGGGCAAGTTACTGACTTCACTGAAATATCAGGAGAAAGACGTTCTATTAAAAAAAATAAAAGGTCTACATGCTAAAATAACCCTTCTCTGTTAAGATAACACACGTGATAAGTGAAGTTATTGGAGTACCTGACTGTACATTTCCTAATGCTATGTCTTCAGTACAAGCAAAGCAGGTTTGGCAGTCAGAGAAAGCAGCTACGAGAAAGATGTTGCCCTCACAAAGGACCGCTGACCAAATGCTTAATCTTCCACCCAGAAACAGAAGAAGAAAAAATACTGAAGCACGAGCGCAAGTCCTACTGGCCCTAACCGGAGAATATCACCACCGGTACGGAAACCTGTGTTAATTAATGTGTATGTTACACCGATTCAAATAAATGGCAGTTGACAGAATCCAAGACCCTCTTTATATATATTTCACATACAGTATTATACACATAAAACAATCTGGAGATACAGAAATGTTATCTACACTATGAAGTCAAGTGACACAATTAAATAAGGAGTGTATTCATAAGGAATTTCTTCAGTTGTTCGATTGGAGTGCGATTCTACCATTTCACGCTCAAACATACTGTATATTCTGGTGCTTTTTATCATACTATTTCTACAATGTCAAATATACAATTTTTATTTTACCGTCTTTCAACACAGTATGTTCAGATGGGCTACAGCACATCTGGACTTCCAGTTCAGTGTCTTTTTACCATCTTCATCTCTAGTCCTACTTCCCATTTCTTTTCTCCTACTAGGCTACACATTTCTACACTATGAAAGGACTGCTTTGTATGTTAGACTTCCTGAATACTTTAAATTTGTGTATAAATATTGCACATTCATTTTGTATTTAATATTCATACAAATATAAAGTAACAGTAACTAAACCCATGGCAAAAAGGATAATATCCACCAAGCAACCAAAGAAGGGCTAGCTAGTCTAGCTACAGTATTTGTCTACAGTAGGCTAAGTTCACTTGGAAACATCCGCATGGTGCATTGACCAGGGGAATATGTGGCAGGGCTACTGCAGGTCAGTGAACCAACCAAACAGCCAATAAGACAGGCTGAGAGGCATACAAATATAGAGAAAAATTAAGTTTGAGACAAAAAGCATGGATGGAAAAAGTCCCAATGGATGTATTTTCCTATTTAAGTTTGAACCTGCTGCAAAGGTCAAAAGCTGGAGACTGAAGACTGGAATCTTTGCATTGGTCAAACCTGTAAATGCACGTGAGTGTACGGACTTTGGGGCACGGACAAATAAGGGGGGGAAAAAAAAAGATTAGCATAAACAAAATGGCAATAAAAAACAAGAAGATAAAAAATATTAAACCCCTCAGAATAATACCATACAATACCATTAAGAAAAAAAATACTTTAAAACATCCTAATGTTCAATCTCTCTTGACTTTGCAACACCGATTCCTCACACACAAAAAAATAATCACTAAGTGGATTTCAAAACCGTCAAACCAAACATGGAGAAAACATAAAAAATTTAAGATAATGGAAATCCCTGTAAAGATTCCAACCTGACTGATGCTTAAAGTACAGGAAGGATCCCTCTATCTGGCTCATGCTACCCTGTCTTCCCTGCCACATATCTGCAAGTCCAGCAATGGAGAAAGAGAAGCAACAGGGAGGGTGCACTGACGTTGATCTGGATTCATTTTGTTTCAGTTTGACTCATGGAGACGTCCAACTTCATGTGCTGCTGTGTTGCCATAGCAACTCAATATGAAGCGGGTGAGTGTGTGGCACTGTGCGGGTCTGGCTGGTTCAGATGTGAGGGACCTTCAGCCTTTTCGTCTGAACAGAAAGCCTTAAGCTTCAAGGATTCACGAGATTTTTTTCTGTTTACTTGTTGTTTGGAGTATGTCTGCATGCTATTTTAACCCGTACATCCTCTCAATGTCTTCCTGGTAGTGTGTTTTGAGCTCCTTGCGTTTCAGTTTGAATGCATCAGTGACCAAACCGGTCTCAGGCGTCCAAGGCTCAGCGCTCAGCCGAATCTTCTTGGGGATCTCAAATCGCTCTAGTTTTGCTAGTTGAGGGGAAAGGAAGTGACAGTCAGTCAGACTCTATCGCACTAACTCTGAAACTAAAAATATTACAGAAAATACCCCTAGTTGCTTTGACATCTTCTATGAGTTCATAATCTGGTTTAATATAAGTGCTGGAGACAAAGAGACTTTTTCCTACCTGAGAAAGCAACCTCAGTAATGATGCGCAGGACTTCTTTTTCCACCTGGGGGTTATTGCAAATTTCCTCCAATGTGCCGTTCACTTGCATCTGTTTCACCATCGCCATTAGCTGCTTGTGGTTAGGCACCACAAAGCTGATCACATATGACTGGTCACTGAAAAACAGAAACAAAAGAGTCCACAAATTCAGTTTTTCCATCATCAGGAAGAAAGAAATCAAGTTATGACTGGAGACTGAGACAGAGAGAAAACAATATTGAGCAGGAAGGAGACATCGCCCAGATGTTTGTGTTCAGTGCGTCTGCGTTTAAAAAGAAAATCGAATTGGAGTTGAGATCTGGAAGAAACAGATTCAAAGGGAATGAATGTAGGATTTTACCTGCTGGCATAGGCACAGATGTTGTCAACGAGAGGGCAGTTCTTCAGAACAGTCTCCACTTTTCCTAGGGAGACATACTCGCCTGCCTGCAACTTCACCAGGTCCTTCTTACGATCTATCGGTGGAAAACACATGTCACAGTCCTAACAAGTGCATTTTCTATACCGCACACGTGTACATTAGTTTGTGGATCTCTTACCAATGATCTTGAGGCATCCGTCAGGGTCGAACTCTCCAATATCACCAGTGCAGAACCATCTCTGGCCGTTCTCATCAACAAAAAAATCCTCGCTGTTCTTGGCTTCGCTTTTGTAGTAACCCATTGTTACATTGGGCCCGCCGATCAAAATTTCTCCTCGTGGCTTGGGCTTGTCTGTGCTGTAGTAACCACCTAGAAAAGCACAGAACTCATTTATAAGGTAAAAAAACAAGGGTTTCTCTTGCTTCTCTTAAGTTGGGTCGTCGTCAGTTGACTCACCTTCTTCCCAGTCCTTCAGTGTGAACTCTGAACAAATCAGTGGAGCACCGACCCGTCCTGTGCTGTAGTCCCAAACTGAAAAACACCAGCAAAGGCTACTGCAGTACTAGTGTGGTAAATGTAGGCACACTACTACTACAAATCAAAGAAGCAGTCGTTTATAATTGCTCCTCTATTAAAAACCCCACCAGTTTTTCACATTTTCTGCCTTCTTCTCTGCACAAAATCCATTTTCTTACCCTCACTGATGGTGCCAGCTCCACAGGTCTCTGTCAGGCCGTAGCCCTGCCCCACAGGGCAGCACAGACAGATGTTCATAAAGCGTTGCGTGGCGGTCGAGAGGGGAGCTCCGCCAGAAAGCAGCACCCTTATGTTCCCTCCCAAGAGCGCACGCACCCGCTTAAACACCAGCCTGAAGGAGAGAAAGAGGACAAATGCTAAAATAAACACAGTATGGTTGATGAGAAGTGGAGACTCCAACAGCAGCAGCAACACAAAGACTGGAAAAAAAAAAAAAACATTCAGACTATTACAATGCTAGCAATAAACCCACACTGCATCCAGGCACTGACTTGTACTGAAGAATGCTTTGTGCAAATACGATATCAGAATCAATATAATGAAATGATTCACAGATCCTAGTAAATTCTCTGTACCTGTTGTTTTACCAAGGGTTAGGGCACGAATTGGTTCTAGTTTATGATTAGCCATATAGGAACATCACGGAGTATCACATATATCATGAAGCAAATGTAAAGAGAAGGTGCTATGCTGAATATCCAGTTTGTGTGTATGGTAATATAATAAGGGTGTTACCTGTCACAAAGAGGTGTGTTGTAGCCCTTGGAGACCTGCTCCATTTTATAGTTGTAAGCCAGCACAAAGAGCGTCTTCTGGAATTTGCTCATTTCCTCCACTTTGGTCATCACATTCTTGTAAATCCGATCCATGATCTCCTACACACGCCGAGTGGGAAAACCCTCAGTTCACACTTTTCAGTACTGTACTGTGCCCAAGCTGTTATTTATCAACTGTTAACTTCATTACAACAAGCAATGTGAGTTAGACTGAATGCAGTGATAAAAAAGACTTACTGGTACAGTAGCCATAAGAGTAGGTTTCAGCACACTGGTATCCCCTTTACTGCCCTTCTTTATCTTGGTGGACTGTGAAAATGACAGAAGACATTTGGGTGCTTGTCAGTGACATACTGCTGCTGCAAGTCCATAGTCATCAATGTATATGGGTGCTTTATTGTGCAGAGCTTAAGCAATGTGAATGAATTCTGAATTTTAATGGAAGCCAGAGTAAATAAAGGGTAGGAATTAAGTAAGCTTTTTTTAGAAGACCTCATTAAAAACCCAGCATTCTACTAAGATCCTGGGATGCTTTGCTTTGGAAACTAACAGTTTTAAAATAGGCTACACGCTTCTTGCAGTGGGCACACAAACAGAGCTGCAGGTCTCAACAATCATGCAACTGCGACCAGTCTGCAGAGCCAGTGCACAGCTCTCTGAACTAGATCTATCAGAGATGTCAAGCCTTATCTTGTGGCTGTGTCAATACCATGCGGCTTCCTGTTGATAAATGCCTAACTGGAATGTGGAAGCCTTGAACCAACCACTTTCCTTTTCCTCCTCCTTCCAAAATGCACTGATAGTTACAAAATAAATGAATTTACAAAATCCAGAAGAAAGTAAAAACAAGCAGAACCTGCTGTGCAATGTCTACATAGAGAAACTGTAAACATTTAAATCACAGCACTGCCATGTCCAGCTTTTTATACTTTCAGCTGCTAAAGCAGCCTCCCTGTGTGCTTGCTATAGACTGGGCCACAGCGCCTACTCCAGAGTCGGACAAGTAACAACGTGTGTGCAGATGAAAGAGCAGCTCACACATGGATGCACTGACTTGCTGCACCCACACCTATGTGTGAGTCACCGCACATTACATGCTGGGGGCCTAAGAAGGGTAAAATTATGATCAATTCAATCTAAGCTTGAGATACAGAAAAGACCCAAGTCACAAATGTGACTGAAATGAATCTAGGAGAAAGATACAACTGTAATACAAACAAGCTGGCGACAAGATGTGTGTGTTTATACACTAACCTGGTCGGCCAGGGTCTGAGGGGAGGAGTAGCCAATGCGACAGCCATGAGCGACGCACACTAGTTCAGCACTGAGCTCTAAAACATGGGCCAGAGGCAGGTAGCCGATGTAGGTGTCTGTTTCACTGCCACAACAGAAACAGCAGGTTTATTTACACCATAGGCACAGATAAAAAAAAAACTGAGGTATAACACACAGAAGGAAATAGGAAGAGGAAGGTAGGGGAAGGAAGGGAGAGGAAAAGTTTGATCGTGTGTTTCAGAAGAAGTAAAGAGAGATGAAAGAAAACAAGCCAGACATTTTGTCGGTTCAGAGAGCTGCAAAACACAGGAACAAAACAAAGGAAGTGTCAGAGGACATTTCAGAGAAGTGTCAAATAGCAGCCAATGAGCATACTTGAGGTTAGGGATTCGCTCGGCCATGCCAGTAATGCCAGCAATGATGTTGCCATGGGAGATCATGACACCCTTGGGGATGCCTGTGGAGCCGCTCGTGTACATGATGACGGCGATGTCTGAGGACTCGGGCTGTCTGCGGTCAACTGCTACTGCAGGGACAGAAGAGAAGAGGGATGCTAGTCAGACAGGAAATGAACCACACACACACACACACACACACACACACCAATATAAACATTATTAGCCATAATAATAAGTCATTGTCAGCTTAATAGTATTCAGCAATTAACTATTTAGCTTCTCAAGTAAAAGTTTAATCTATTAGATCTCAAGAAACGTAAAGACAAAAACACTCATTTTGCTTGACTATGTGTCAAAAAGCCAAAGATTTAATCCAGTGATATAAAACAGCAAATCCTAAATCTTGAAAAGCTGAGAATATTTGGCATTAACTAACTTAAATGAGTGATCAAATATTAAAATTACTTCTGGTCATTTTCTGCATATCATATAACCAAACAATGCTTTTGCTTGTAATATTAATATAATCTTTTAGATTCTGTATAAAATGAAAGATGCCAAAAAAAGTCCAAGGAATCTGGACTTGAGGAAAAGTACTTCTGTTATTTACTGCATATACTCATCTAATAAACACTGATTAAGTCATGTATCAATGACTGAAAAACCACATGACTCTTTATAGCCTGCTTCTATTTAGCAGGTTCTTAATGCACGCATGGCTTAAATGATTAGAATCTTCTATGTAATTCTTGTTTTCCATATGGTTGGGAAGGAGATTTAAGTGAACACTTAATCATCACAGTTCAATTTCAGGGATATCAGTCTGTCCGTTTAGGAAGCACAAGTGATTGTGAACCAGTTTCACCTGCTTTGGTGCAGGTGACAGTGAAAGCAGGCGCAATGGAGAGGCAAAAGCAAGACAACCCCCCCAAAAAGGGAAAGGTGTCCATGTGGTGGCCACAGACAAACGCTGTCCTCATTCTTCCTGATTGATTCTTCTCAGGTTGTTTTGCTGTCAAAATGACCTCCAGCTACCAGTGTGCGTGTCTCTGACCAAACTGTCAGAAACAGATTCCATGAGGGTGGCATAAGGGCCCGACGTCCTCTGGTATGACCAGCCCAGCACAATGCAGCTCGATTGGCATTCGCTAGAGAACACCAGAATTGTCAGGTCCGCATTGGCGCCCTGTTCTCTTCACAGATGAGAGCAGGTTCACACTAAGCACATGCGACAGGCATGAAAGAGTCTGGAGACGCCTTGGTGAACGTTATGCTGCCTGTAACATCATCGAGCATGACTGGTTTAGTGGTGGGACAGTGAAGGTCTGGGGTTGCATATCCTTGGAAGGCCACACAGATGTCATAGCCAACAGATTTTGGTTTCCATTGACCGCTACGTCATTTTGTTCTGAACAAATTATACAATTTGCATTAGTAAAGGATTTCAACTTGAATAATTTGTTTATCAAGATCTGGTGTGTGATTTAATGTTCACTTCATTTTTTTGAGAAGTGTTTTTTTTTTTTTAATATTCCACATTTGTTTTCTTTATCAAGTAAGAGAAGAAGTACAAAATTGGCTTAAGTGACAATTTCTGTATCTACTTTAAACAATCAGTCAATGTCACAGTGGCATTGCATGTCTGGCAAGTGGTGACCTGACCTCCTGCTCACTCCGTTGTGCATAGCACATCACTCTACTGTACACATCAGGGTGTGGGGCTTCCATCAGTGTACTTCCATTTACCTGACAAAGTCAGAAGCTGTTTTAATGACATTACACAAAATACTCACTGTTGTCAGGCTTGGATCCCATCTCCTTCACAGCATCCATGCTGTAGACCATGATGCCTCTTGGGAGCTCTGGGCAGTTTGCAGGTTTACTGTCCACGACGATGATATACTGCAGCCTCGGCACGCTGCACAGTATGTCCTGGGATATGGAGTTGGTGTAGGTAGGAGGGGGGAGAGGGAGTTAGAGGAAAAGAGTAATTATGAACATTGAAGTGAGCTTCAACCTGTGATTCAAGAACATATCAGTGCAAAGTTTTGTTTAATGTGGGTGACATGATGGAGACAGATGATGTAAGCCAGGTACCTTGAGACGGTTCTGAAGCAGGTCGTTACTCGTGATGATGTGTGTGACCTCTGTCTCGTTCAGGCCATGTGCAATGGCCGTGAATCCGAGAGTGGAGTACAAAGTCACCACTGCCAAATTCAAATACAGGTGGGTTGGTCAGCCATCTAATTATCAAACATTATTATAGGTGTTAAGAATGTCTGAATATGTTTGTCTCTTTGTCACTCACGTCGAAAATTGTACATGAAGCAGGCTTGTGATACCACAATCCACTCCGCTCTAGTCTCACAGAAGAGTGCAATGTTACATTTAGGTTTCTGGCCAAGAGCTGCCAGGCCACTGCCAAAACATTTCGCTATCTGGTAAACGTCCTCGTATGTCAGCCAGTTATAGTTCCCTAGAATTACCTTCACACAACATGCAGAGTACATGCATTACTCAGGATTATCTTCACACCACATACTACACCAAGTAACATGAAAACAGATGAAGGTACATTCCACAGGCTTGGGTAGCATCAGAGCATCGTATCAGCAGCAAATAATGCCCAAATAATTTCATCAGGTGATAGAATTGATATATACACTGTTTTGTGTTACAATTAACTGTAATGTGGGTGATCATCTAAGATGCAGTACTGACATAGGTCTGATGTTACCAGTCCAACAACATCATAATTCATATTCAGTCAGTTGGTGCCATCTACAGGCTTTTTGCAGCTCTGCAGGTGTTAATGAGGACCAGTAATACTGCTGCTCTTCCACCCACATTCCTCACACTGTGCACAGTGGCAGACTGCTTTGTCAGCGTCACAGGCACAAATAAACTCTATGTAATGCCATAGATCCTTATAGATCACTCACAGAGTGCTGCACCCACATAGGATGAGAGACACATTTGCTCCTGAAAACAGACTAAATATTTAAAAGAACAGTAAAACAGCACAATCTGTTGCAAGTAAGTACCAGGAACAGGTCAGTGTCTCTCACCTTCTTGAAGACCTTGCCATTAGGCTGGAGCTCATCCTCCTCACTGAGCACCTCCCTGGTGCCCAGACAGTCTCTCTGGGGAAATTTCCTAGCAGCATGTTCAAACATTTTGTCCAGGGTGTCCACGCCAGGGTGCAGCCATGTTGCCAGCTTCTCTTGGCTGTTGATAGCCCTGTAAGGCCCTGCTGGGTGTCCGCTAACCGAGCGTGCCTTGATCCGACATGCCCATTCCAAGGTGGTGCTAGCTCCAGAGAAGAAGTACCAGGGTATGAAGGTGATGGTGGAGTAGACCCAGACCACAGAGCGAAAAACCTGCAACAGCAGGGGGTTTATATCCTCCTTCAACTTCATCTTTAAGGATGAAGTTAGTAGCACACTGCACCTGTCACTGCTCTGTAAAGTATTTTGATTTGCTGCAGAGATTAATGGTTGTAGGCAGCGCCTCTTTTTTGCAGGAAGTCAAATGAACCTGTAAAACAGAAACAATATCTGGAATAAAGCTGTATCAGCACATTTAGTGATACTGAGCTGCATCAAATGTGCGTAACTGCCTCCTGGTAAATAAATCCTTGCCTGCATGAAGACCATCTTTGCCTATTTCTTAGGCTGGTTCTCGGTCAGCACTATCTCACCAGATCTGCTGGCCCTGCTGGCATGATGCCAAGATGCTTAATAGCAACAAGATTTAATAATAACACCGAAATCATTTCTTAACCAATTAGTTGATAGAAAATTGCCTCTTTATGTGAAACTTGCTTCTTTCACTGTTTCATAATCAAAAACTGCAACATAAGAATATGACTATGGGACTGAGAACATAATCATTTTCATTTTTACATAATTTGGACACTAAACAAAAGACTATTATTTACTTCCTAAATAAAACAGTGGTTGCATTTTAAGACAAGATGCCTTCCAAATTTTCTGGAATTATACACCTTCTCTATGTCTCACCACAGCTTAGCAACTTTACCCTGAGGTATGTTTGGTAACCATGTACTGTACTCATTACTGCTCTCAGTTGTTTGGCTACACAACAAAAACCTTTGAATCGCCTCCAAGAGTTCAGCCATTTCAAACGTAATCTGCAGTGTAGCCCTGTAGCCACTGAGCCTGATAGAAGACGTGGCTGTGACTCATTCTGCAGCTGAAGAGGAGAGGCCCCAAAGTCATGTGGGAGGTTAGCATACCAGCTAATGTGACAGTACTGAGAAGAATCTAACACTGGCTGATGAGGTGAGCAGATCCTGGCCATATGCAAACAGAAGCTCCAAAAAAACAACATAAATATTATGCAGAAATTCTACCTTTAGTAGCACATTCAAGAATATTTAAGAAAGCTCTTTTTTTATAGAAAAAAATATTCTAAGTTGCTAGAATTGTAAAACAAGGCATGTGTGCAGAAATTTAACTTCAGTTACATTGAGTCCCATTGAGTGTAAAGGCCAACTAGACTGGTCACCTGCAATGCACCACATTCTTGTGCTCCAGTAAGGACTGTGACACCACAGCTAGAACAATATTGCACAGCGGGGGCCAAAAGACCTTTTTCACAGCAGAAAAACAAGTGTAGCTAACAACATTAATGATGGCTGAGTTCCATTAAGTGTTCCACTCACAATGGTATGATCATGGAAATGGCTTGCATAAAAGCAGCCATTGTTAGTGTTATCAAATTATATCTGTGTGATCCTACTATGACATGTCAAAATGTGAAAAACATCCATTTCTTTCTGTATAACAATAGATGATGACCTCTCACTAAATGGAGTTCATTATAAATTAAAAGCATTATGTGCATGTGGGTGTTTAAGCAAGTGCTCCTTCTTCATCTGGATACTCACAGGAACACCACATGACCTCTAACCTCAGATGTAAAGAAAAAAAAACATTTCAAAGTGACTACACAACACTTCTGTCCATATGTATACAATCACAATAGTCACTGCCTTTACTGTTGCATTTATACTGTATTTACTGTATAAACAGTCAACTATGAGTGAGGGATGAACCTGTTTAGCAGCACTTCGCATAGCACAACCAACTGCCACAATCTGAGTGGATTTGGGCAGAGCAGTCAGAAGGGTGGAGAGTTCAACACTTGTAATGCTGGTTTATACTGTTTATTTTGCATTGTTTCTACTGCTTATTTTGTAATACTACACAGCCTTATGTTGGTTTACTGCTCACTTGCACGGGAATATGTACATGCACATCGAGAGCCACTGTACCAGAGTCAAATTCCTCATGTGTCCGACACACCTGGCCAATAAAGCGGACTCTGGTTCAGTCAAGGTGAACTCTAAAAAAGTCAACACTCCTTAGATACTATTTCAGCAGCAACAAAACCAGATCATATCAGTTATTTAGAAAAAGAGCATTTCACATTTAACACTTCATGAAAGAAAAGGCATAATCATTTTAAACCCAGCCCCATTTGCAGATTTGTCATACCAAAGAGCTGTAACAGCAGTAACGTTTTGGTGTGTAAAATAGTGTGTAACACTGGAGAAAACCATGCTTTCTGCAACCATTATACCATACCCAAAACAATATGCTCTAGTAAGCTACAGCCGTCAGCCTAATAATACATAATGATTTTACCTATACTGAAAATATCGTAGTACACATACAGTATCTGAGTGTACATCAGGATACCAGGGTGATGCTTAAGAACAATTCCCATTCCATATGCTTTATATTTTAATCTATTATAAACGTTTTAACTGCCGCTTTAACTTGTTTAGTCAATTAACGATTTAACCAGAAAATGACAGGAAGGATTTCAATTACGGTGTCCATGTTGGAAGCTATGAAGGTTAGCACAACGCCATCGAGCGGACAGGTCAAAAATGCGCTAGCAGCTAGCAAAACGGTGACGCTAGCATTTAGCGCTTCAGCTAACCACTGCAGCTCTTTCTAGTCTGCTGCTGAAGACCAAAACCTATTTAATGATAAAATTCCACTTAGGAATTCAATGGAAACACATGCATCGTATTGTACCAGCCATAATGCATTTTAAAAGGCGATGTGTCGTGTTCATGAGTCCAATCAATCCCCCTCTTTAACATCTGCAAAGCATTCACATAGCATTCACATAGCAATAACGTTAACTTTACATTCTTCTTACCTCTATTCTCAGCCGGTTACGCCGGAGCCACTTCGGGACTAGACCACATATATGTATCCTTGTAACCAAAGCTTCGACATCATATTGCTATAGTATATCAACACGACGTATCTGGTTATAAATCACAACTGTAAGTTTGTTATGAGTATAATACAAATTTAAGTAAAATTGTATATATGAGGATCACGGTCTACTGCGACCAGACCGGAAACCATAGAAGACGTCACCACATTACTACGTTAGCGATTGGTGCGCTGAAGGTGGCGAGTGTTTGGGGGAAGCGGGGATGTGACTGGGGTTACTAGCGGACACAGTCATTGCTCTACCCGCCCACCATACACTGTCGGGACCATTACCTCAAGTTACCCATCAGTCACCGATACAATGAGTCGGGTTAGTTACTCAAATGGCTCAGCCTTTATTTGAATTGTCCGATCTTAGTAACCAGGTTAGCATACGAGTCAGACACGGTTAAGCTTTGCTAAACACGTGTCTCTATGTAATTCACTGTTTACACATTTAACACGGAAGAG